CCCACATTAATCAAGATTTGGAAATTAGCCTCTTAGTGAGGCTACGCATGCTCAAGTTCCAACAGTAGACTAGGTCTTTGCAATGACTTCGTTTTGTTCTTCACGATGAGCTATGCAACAATCATAATCTCTTGACTTGAAGTTGGAAGTTTCATATTCAACGTTCGAACTATAACGGTTGTTGAAATCTTCAATAAATTGTTTTTGATTTTTCTCTAGAAAATAAATATTATTAGGGGTTAGTTGAAGATAATGACAGCCTTCTTAACCTGGGGATTTGAAATTGCAAGGTAATTGCTTCACAATAAAGTTAGTACAATCTGAAACAAAATTACACTTTCAAATAAAGTGTTAGTAAAGAATTAGATTTTTAAATCAAATAATTCGTCTTTAAACATTAAATATTTGAGTGTTGTTAATAAAAAATTTAATTTCTATTAATATTTAAAAAAAAATATCTCTTATACCCAAATTTTTTACTGTTCAAAAAAAAATAATAAATAAAGTGTTAGAAAAGATTGATTAACCGCTCACCCAAAAATAGAGGAAGAAGATGTTGAATTAATGGTTAGTTGTTTTGTCTAATTTGATAGTTGATCATTATTATTATTAAAAATTTAAATTATGTTATTCATTAAATTAGATAAATTAATAACCATTAATTTCATATTATTATACGAAACCGCTTGAAAATGAAAAAAAAAAAAAAAAGAAGAAGAAGAAGAAAAGAATAACGCGTAATTTTTTTTACAATTAATGTTTTCTAGTACAACTACATGGAAATTTCATCCCAGTGGAGATGGGGTGGAAAACTCGTCGTCTTGAATAACTGCACCAACGCCTATTTTTTTCTGGTATATATTGTAATGGGCTAGTTTGGGCCGTTTTCGGGTCAAAGTTAAAGTTCCTTTTATAAATTTCTTTACTTGGGTTGTTGGGGCTGGGCTTTCTGATAGTCAATGAATTCTCACATCGTGGCACGTAAAGAGGCTAGGCTTTTGGACTTATTTTCTTAGCCCTTTCTAGGCCCAATAGAAGAAGTTTTCGAGACTAAACGTAAACAGAAAATTTTTTATCCCGAATAACCAACTAATTGTTTTTTTTTTTAATTAAAAAAAAAAAAAAAAAAACAACAACACACATAAATAGCAAACAGCGGATGTGGTATGTGTAGAAATGAACATAATGTGGGGTAGCCATTCAAAACTGAACATGGAATCGACAATCAATGACTTAGGAATTATAAATTCATCAAATTGACGTCCTTTTTTTAAAAAAAAAATTATCCAGGTTTCCTCAATTTTGAGAGTGCATGTGGTCTGATCTCATCCTTCGCATTGCAATTAATCCTATGAATTATAAATTTATTCATGTGTTTTATTAATTTAATTTTGCTACATATATGCATGTGGTCTAGCCTTTGATTCTTGAAGGGACAAGTATGATCCGAAAATTCAGAATGGAGAGATTTGCTCTTGTTATGGTCCTTGTTTATATGTACCCAAATAAAAAAAAAAAAGAAAAAAAAAAGAAAAAAGGAAAAAATGGTCCCTGTTTGTTTTGTAGGCCCCAACCTGATTGCTTCAGCCCAAGTAATTAGAATATCTTTATTTACTTTAAAAATTTCACTGAGATAATTTTTTTTTTCAATTTTTTATTTTGCTTTTGTTTTGACAGAGAAGACCCTATGCAGTTGTACTATTACTGAATCAGTAGGTGAAACGAAGGTGAATATCTCATGCACATTCCTTGTTCAAAATTATTAATTATTCGTTTTTAATTTAATTTATGAAGTATTCGTTCGTCCTTAATTATCAATGTTTAGATGGTGGATGTGTCTGCAAATTCTGCATCTATTGCTTCTGCCTCTGGTAAGGCTTTAGTAAGATTATATCAAATTATAAAATATCATTCATTAGATAATGAGGGGTTCTATGATAATAGATCCTATCTCTTCATCTAATAAATTATATTTTACAATTTAGTATAATTTGAACTATAAAAATTAAACTAATTTGGATATACAAAAAATTATTTTACATTTCAAACTATATTAAACTATAAAAAATTAATCACTAAATAATAAAGGACCTCTTATAATAGGCATTAACTTGTTCATCCAATAAGTGATATTTTTATGATCTTGATTGGAATTCATTGCATGGAATCATGTAGGCTAAGGAATTAATCCTTGATTTGACTTCTTATATTTTTATTTTTATGATCTAAATCAATGAATTTATAAGTTAAAAAAGGAAAAACTTTCAATATAAATAAGTTTGGGTACCCCTTTACTCGTATCAATAAAAAAAAATTTTTGCTCAAATAAAAAAATTTTTTACTCATAAAAAAAAATTGATATTTTGCTGTTCGAACCACAAAACACTGAACCCATGCATGTTTACATTAATTGCTTAAGTAATATGGAATAATTGCTGCATGTGTATATGGGGTACCATGAAGACTGTACCTATTGCCCATCTCCTTGCATACAAGTACTCCCTACGAAGTGTAAATGCCGGTAGAAAAGCCCCTTTTCCAGCTGCAAGGAGCGCACATCAATGCCCTTCCTTCTACTTTATTTTCTGTTTGTCTAGTACTACTTAATGCTCTCAACAACTGCCAGTTGATGTACCTTAATAAATCCCACCCATTTGGTTGGGTTGGCTAGCTTAATTAAGTACTATTACTCTTAGTTAATATCTTTGTGTTCAACAATTAATCAATGACTAAGGTAAATTAGGGGTTTGAATCATCTATATCACATGCCAACTTGTAATTCACCACCTATCTGCTCTGGTATAAATATTTTTGATTAATTTGTATAGTTAAAAATTACTAGTGTAAACATTATTAATAGTAGTCGTGTAAAAGATAAAATTGTTAATTCCACATAATGTATATCACAATATAATCCACTGACATTATTGAACCAATATCTTAATTTAATTGGACGAAAAAAAATTTTCACCCTTCCCCTTAGTTTTCCTCATACTTCTAAGTATGCATGGCACGAAAACCTAGCCTTGTATGCATTTACAAAACAGTTCATCTCAGTGGTACATATAGATTGAGGGTTGTTGGGCAAAAACCAACATTTATCCCCTCAGCTTATAAAATTGATAGGTTTTAGCTCTTTATCTCATAACATGACAGTTTTAACCCTTTATCTTATCAAGTTGGTAAGTTTTAATCATTCACCTTATAAAATTGATAGGTTTTAACCATTTATCTTATATTATGATATTTTTAGCCCATCACCAATATGAATTAAAAAAAATAACCCTTACCTAACATATAGTTATAACGTTTTGTTAGTTTTGTTAGTTGACTGTTAACATTCGTTAGTATTTTGTTATAAAAAACATGAAATTTAAATTCAATTTTATTTGTTAGTTCCATTAATGGAATGCTAACGGATGCTAATAGATGCTAACGGTCGA